TCAAATCAACTGCATATATTTAGTAAGCTAGGCAAGAAAACCCCACAGAGGCACTCTAGTTTTAGTTTTTCCGTGATTTCATCATTTCTTGATTATATTGTCGCCGTTCTCCCTTGACACGCGACAGCAGCAAGTCTCTAAAGACTCTCTTGTTGGTCAAGAATGTTGCTGCACATGTACCGGCAAGAACTAGGAAGCGAGATCAGATGTTCTAGACCGGCTTCTCGACATTTCTCGACAAATCCTCCTGCTCGTCTGCAACCCAATGGGCAGCTGATCTTAATTCAACATCAATATGACATCCCGACCCCCGCACTGGCTTTTGGGCAGTTCCGATGAAGCAACAAGTGGCCAAGCAATGACCAAAAATATAAATAACCAAGAATCTGAATATATCTGCAGACAATCTATATCTATATCTATGTATTTTTTTCCATGTTGTATGTTTAAAATGCTTTCAAGAATTGTACAGCACTTTGAGTTGCATTTCTATGAATGACAAATACTATATAAATAAAGTTTGATTGAAAATATCAAAACAGAGCTCAAGTAAAGACTCATTTTAAAACTATCCACTGCATTCAAAGATTGAAACTAACCTGAGTCAATTGACCGAGAGGTCAAATCGAACTGGAACTTCTCAGTGGGTTAAACAATGTTATTACAACGTGCGTGTGTTTTCTGTGTTTCTAAGCAAACGGAATCCCCCCGCAAATCTTCCTGAGCGGAGAGAACAAGTTGCACGCTGTTTTACAAGAGGGGAGATAAATCTGTCAGGAGTGTCAAGCAGCAGGCGTCAAGGCAGCCAAAAGCAGACTCCTGCGAGCTGGCCAGATTCTTGTGGCATCCGATGGCAGAAAATGCCAAACAATTGCACAATAACACTCACAAACAGACACGCACATGCGCACACACACACACACACACGAACGCATACGCTTGCTTGGCTCAGGGACAGCAGCCAAAACCAGTCAGTTCTTTGGCTGAGGCAGAGCGGGCCAATTCCTCCCCTTGTAGACAATGTTGTGTTTTAATTAATTTTCAAGTGACTGAAAAGTACATCACTTGTCTCAAGATTTCAGTAAGAATCAATCTCACGTTGTTTCTCACATTACGATTTGAACTTTTTTAAGACAATGTTTTTCCGGGGCAACATGCTGCCGGATTACAAGCTGCAATCACAAACATGTTTCACTGGTAGTTCTCCGGCAATCAAACCTGACTATTATCATTTTTTATGAGGACTTTTTTTTTATAGGCTCTTGTATGAGAGAAATAACTTTGCAGATGGTTAAGAAATTGCCAGAAAGAAAGTGTGGCAGTGCAGTATTCATTTTATAGATTTGGAGACTGTTCTTGTATTTGTTCTCGGAGATGAGGCATGAAATACAACCACTGACGTGACTGGTGACAAATGGGAATTTTCATTTTCCCAACCACCATGTTGTGATTAGCTTTTAAAGTGGCACATTTAACACGCCAAATAAGATATAAATCATGTCCATGTCACTTTCGGAGTGACCATCGTAGACATGTTGTTGGACACTTGATGGGGATATTGTTCCGTTTTCCAGGCCTTGTTAACTTCTTGTTTCTCTCACTCAATGGATTTCCTCCCGAAAACGCGCACAATGGCGCGACCGCAGCTGTAAAGAAGGATTTACGGGGGCCGCCTGTCCTCCCAGCAGTAGGCTGATTGGAGGGGCCGGCTGTGTTTGTTAAGGTAATGGGCCCTAGGTGAGCTAATTCACAGGGTACACGCTCCGCGCTCTGTCACCTCAGCGGCACCTCGATTGGGTGGGGTGGGGGAAAGGCGTGGGCTGGGGGGTGGATTGGTGGCCCAAGCTCTCCCCCGAATCTCCTCGGCCGTGCTCCGTCTACTTCAGCTCCACCTGAAAGTGATTAACCGGGGCCAGCCATGAGCAAACAAGCCCCATATGGAGTGTCTATAGGCTGGAGCTTTGGGAGCCTTCCTCCACCTCTTTGCAGAAAAGAGGCCTGAGCAAACATGGCTAATGAAGTCTTAACAAGCAGCCCCGGGTTAGTGTGAGCCCTCTAAATGCCACCGAGGCTTTCGGAATTGTGTCCGGCAGATTGGCTAAATCTCCTCCAAGCTTTCCCTTTACAAGATAAAGTTGCATTAGCATATCTCCGTCTCGCCATCTCATATAGTCTTGGAACTGGGAAGCGGTCACACTTGATGGGCTTCCTCTCGGAGCACTTGATTATGTCGGGTAGAATTGGCGTTTAAATGGAACACATTAACTTGAGTTCCTGATGTTCATTGAGGATTTTATTCATTGGTCACACATCCTTCTCAAAGCTTTGGTGTGCGCTCATATTCTCTCACAGCATGAGGCCAGCGCAAGATAAGCAGATAGCATATCGTCATTGCGCTGCTCTGCTCTGACTTTTTTTTTTCTCTCTCCTTCAACACATCATGAGAGATTTCACAGCATTCATTGCATGCACAAACAAGCACTCGTCCATAGAGCCTGCTGAACTCTTGTCTGGCAGCCAATAACGGCGCTCTCGGCTCATTTAATCAAGCTGTGCTGTCCATGCAAGCTCAACTCGAGGCTATTGCTTTCATTCGGCGGGTCGAGGCTGTAAAAATAGCTACCTCACATCATAAAGATCGGGCTGCAAACCAAACATAATATCAGCAATTTGGACTCCGCACACTGGACCGCGCACACAATGTGGCACTATGCTCGGATGGGGATAGAGGAAGATGCCTGTTGTGCTTGACCATAACTTGGCCTACGGGAAACTTAACATTACATCCAGTATAACGCGCGTCCTTGGCGAAATTCCGTTTCTACACATGCAAAAACACCTGGATGTATACAGAAGTTGGATTATGCCATTGCCCAGCACAAACCAAGAGGATGGAGGAGTAGATATTTGGACATGAAATACTTCTAGGCCACCGAGATGTCTCGTGAGCCATTTGCAATCTCAAAATGTCATATGTCGGGACCGTCACAAAACCGAGGAGCCCAGTGGCGTTTTTGGCACACACAAACAGAAGACATTGTTTTGACAAATAAAAATCAAAGCTTTCTGAGAAAAAAAAACAACAAACACTTTGAACGATCTTCATGCATAATGTCAAGCAACATGTCAGCATAACTCAGAGCCGGCCCATGTTTTGCTCTTTGTTGTGTTTTGCGTATTCCATAAGAAGTCCCGAAAAAGAAAAGGAATATATACTGTAAGTTACAAGAAATAAATAGACTCACATTCAAAGTCGATGAGTGTTTTTTTTTAATATTAAAAAACAACAACTTTTGGCTGACTACCAAGAAGAAATGACACTTCATATTCTCTGTGGAGACAATAAAGGTGACACTATATTAAGAAATGTTGTGTGTTGAAGTATTAAATGTGATTGTGAGCACAATGATTCTTCCATCATTTAGGATATACGGAAATAACGCCACCTGGGCAATATTTCGCACATACATTTGTCATGTTGTGTCTTGAGTGTGTTCCAGCTCCAGCCGCAGTGAAGGGCGTTTCCCTCCAGCAGGTACACCTGCGCCTCATTTCCGCATCAAGCCTGGCTGGGTATTTAAGGACTCGGACTTCTGCTACACCTGGTTGGATCCTTCTTGCTGTCACATTGTTTTGAGTCACTGCCATGAGTAGTTTGTACTATTGTAATGAGGCTTTTGTTTGTTTGTTTGTTTGTGTTTGTTACTTTGGTTTCGTGGTGTTTTTATTTGTTGTGGAATTAATGTTTCCATTGTTTTGTGAATACATTTTGCTCAGTCTACCCTGCTTCTCCTGCCTGCCTGCTTTTTGGGTCCTCTACCATGCAAAACGTGACAGAAAGAGCTGTTGGTCTAATTAGTAAACGTCAAGTGTATAATACAATCCTAAAAACAGTTGGGATTTATGTTTAAATAAAGGTTCTGTATGCATAATTTTATGAAACATCATGCAAGCAATTAAATTTTTAAAGATTATGTTTTACTTATTTGCATATCCGATGTAATAAAATGACTGCGTTTCTCCATTCCACATGCCTTAGAACCAAAGGGGAAAAAAAGACGCCACTGTGGAAGAACATACTGTATAGTAAAACTAGCCTACTTTTGCACTGGACCTCATGAGTTTTATGATTACCTAACATTGTAGAGTCAACTTTTTCATTGTTTTCAGGAAAACTCTGACTGAGCTCTCGCACAGCAGAGATAGCTGGATAACAGCAGGTGATGAAATCAGACTGTTTAAGTGGCGACGACAGAAATAACACCGAGTAGATATTTGTGCAACAGGGAGATCTTCAGTCACACGCACTTAGCGCGTTAACACAGACCTGAGTTGCTCAGTGTCAGGTTGCTCTGTCACTTGCTCTCTGCCGCGTGCAATTACGCCTCCCGCGGAGCTCTGTGCAAGCGTTAAATGAAACTTTAGCACCTCATTTGAAAAATAAAACAGCTTTTCTTAAGGACAGACAAAACCCTGGGTAGTCTTAGCAAGCGCAAATTAACCAATTTAGCAAGCTGGCCTTTTGCTCGCACTCATGCACGGGGTGGGGGCGATCACACAAGTTTTAACACAAAATTGATTTCATAAAAGTCCAACTAATTGACCTTTCACATTAATACAAAATGATACAGAACTACATAACTTTAAAATCAACAACCTTCAATGAGATGAGTAAAAAAATGTGAAGATGGATTATTATGGTTCTTGTTTGTAGTCGCGATGAGCTGCATATAAAGTGCCGTTTCGGATACTTTGTGACCTGTTTTCATGAACACTTATGCGTCAATTAATAACGGGGCATTGTTGTCTTTGTAAAGCAAAATGTCGATGACAGCTAAGGAGATTGTGAGCATCATGTTATTGGTGGTCAGTGTCAACAAAGTAAAATCAAAACAACCTTGATTGACTTCACCTTGACCCCGCCTCTGCCGCGTTGTGATTGGAGCATCTCTCTTAGGGGCGTGACCCGCCAGCCTCCTGTGTATATATGCACCACTTGATCGCCTCGCCGCTGATTTACATGAGAACCAATAACACAGGAGTAGCAAACGCGCTGAATGCGTTTCTGTTCCAGTACAAGCGAAGACGCACGTTTTTCTGACAGCAGAGGATTTGCGTGTCTTTTTTAAACGGACTGGTGAAAGTGTAGTGACAGCGCTGAAAAAAGAAGACGGTGGATTCTCCTCTCAGCCATCTTGACTGCTGCTGCTCGCCGCACTGAAGGCTCGTCTTCTCCTGCTACATTCAAAGTAAACACAGCCGTGCCGGCCACTCGCAACTCCATGCAAGCTCCACGGAGACGCGAGATGGGCTCGCCGCGTGAAATCTGACCGGGCTGAAGGCGGGCGGTGGAGGATTTACGGCAGCATTTGGATCAGACAAGGCAAAGGGAGCCGAGGCGCGCAACGGCTTGGAGAGATGGAGCCCGACCTGTTTGGGATTTACCTGCTCCTCTCTCTCGCCCTCCTGCCCAGATCCAGCGGCACCACCGCTAAGGAGATCACCTGCCAGGAAATAGCCGTGCCCCTATGTAAAGGTATCGGCTACAATTACACCTACATGCCCAACCAATTCAACCACGACACGCAGGACGAAGCGGGACTGGAAGTCCATCAGTTCTGGCCTCTGGTGGAGATCCAGTGCTCGCCCGATCTCAAGTTCTTCCTGTGCAGCATGTACACGCCGATCTGTCTGGAGGACTACAAAAAGCCGCTGCCGCCATGCAGGAGCGTGTGTGAGAGAGCCCGTGCCGGCTGCGCGCCCCTCATGAGACAGTATGGCTTCCCATGGCCGGACCGCATGAAATGTGATCTGCTGCCGGTGCTGGGCAACCCCGACACGCTTTGCATGGACTATAATAGAACAGACTCGACCACCGTGTCACCCGTCCTCCCCAAGCCCACCAACCATCCCGCGAAGGGCTTCAACCCACCCAAAATGAAGCCAGGTAGACCGAGCCCACCTCGGAAGTACAAGCCGGCCGCGGGCGCCTGCGAGGCGGGTTGCAAATGCTTGGAGCCAATGGTGCCGGTCAACACGGAGCGCCACCCGCTGTACAACCGCGTGAAAACTGGACAGATTACCAACTGTGCCATGCCTTGCCACAGTCCCTATTTTACCCACGACGAGAGGGCTTTCACAGCCTTCTGGATCGGGCTGTGGTCCGTGCTGTGCTTCGTGTCAACTTCTGCCACGGTCGCCACCTTCCTCATAGACATGGAGCGCTTCAAGTATCCGGAGAGGCCCATCATCTTCCTCTCCGCCTGCTACATGTTTGTGTCCGTCGGCTACATCGTCAGGCTCATCGCCGGGCACGAGAAGGTGGCCTGCAGCAGGGACTTGGACGTGGAGCACATCCATTACGAGACCACGGGACCCGCACTGTGCACGGTGGTCTTCCTCCTTATTTACTTCTTCGGCATGGCCAGCTCCATCTGGTGGGTCATCTTGTCGCTGACTTGGTTCCTGGCAGCTGGGATGAAGTGGGGCAACGAAGCCATCGCCAGTTATTCCCAGTACTTCCATTTGGCAGCGTGGCTCATCCCCAGCATGAAGTCAATAGCGGTCCTGGCTCTGAGTTCTGTGGACGGGGACTCGGTGGCCGGGATCTGCTACGTGGGCAACCAGAACCTTGACAACCTGCGTGGCTTTGTCCTAGCCCCTCTGGTGATTTATTTATTCATTGGTACCATGTTCCTTTTGGCTGGATTTGTGTCCTTGTTCAGGATCCGCAATGTCATTAAGCAAGGTGGCACCAAGACTGACAAACTGGAAAGGCTCATGATCAGAATCGGGGTCTTCACGGTGCTGTACACGGTTCCGGCCACCATCATAGTGGCGTGTTACTTCTACGAGCAGCACAATAGGCAGAACTGGGAAGTAACCCACAACTGCTCCAACTGTTTACACGAGAAGGACCGCAGCCGGCCGGACTACGCCGTCTTCATGTTAAAGTACTTCATGTGCCTTCTGGTGGGCATCACGTCCGGAGTGTGGATCTGGTCGGGCAAGACTTTGGACTCTTGGAGGACTTTCTGCACCAGGTGCTGTTGGGGTAGCAAGGCCACCAGCGGCTCCATGTACAGCGACGTGAGCACGGGCCTGACGTGGAGGTCAGGCACGGCCAGCTCCGTGTCTTGCCCCAAGCAGATGCCATTGTCGCAGGTTTGAATAAAACGAAAACAAAAGCGGCTTATGGAGGACTGCTAATTGTTTGGGAGATAACCCATCACACCCTGTCTTAAGCAATTTGCATTGTAATGAACTGCTGCTGAGGTGCTGCCCTCTTTCCTCCCCAAACTGCGGGGAGAACGTTGAGACAATGTCCAGGCATTCACACAGGTTTAATTCCTCCATTCTTCCCTGTTGATAGGAATTAGAGGCTCATCTCCAATTTCGGGGGCATTACTTCTTGTAGCCAGTTCTTAACAAACTTCGTACAAAGCGTCTTTTATTAAAACCTTTTTTCTACCTATCTCGTGCCAGATAATGTCGAAATGTCAATCATGTCAAATATGGTTTAAATTAAGCCTTAATAGTGCCCCGGGTGTTTTTTGTTTTGTTTTTTGAACGGGTCATACATTTTGTATTTTTTTGTTTTGTTTTGTTTTTTGAACGGGTCATACATTTTGTAAGTTCAAAAATGTATTTATATACTGTAAAGCTTGTGTACATTTGTGTATAAAAAGAAAAGTTTATAGCTATTGTAAATTTGTAAAAAGTGCAGATGTCTTTTTGCGGGAGAGCAAAAAAAATGACATTTATTTTGACAATAAAACATTTGATAAATTTAAACCTTTGTTTTTTTTTTTTCTGTGTGTGTCTATGTGTGTCTGCCTTGCCGAGCAGGCGTGTTTTGTGGTCATCATTTTTAAGGACGACAGCTTTTCAGGGTCTCCAGCGAAAGGGGAAGCCCTTTTAACTGTCAGAAAGTGGTCATTAGAGGTAGGGGTTGAGTTGGAGCATCTCCATGATTGTTAAAGTCCTCTTCACATGCCTGCAGAAGCCTGCTTTCTTAATTTGGTAAAAGGGGGACCGGCTGAATGCAGTCTAAATGCAGGGAAAGGAGCCTTTTCATCTGCACAAACTTTGATCTTTCTTTTCGAACAGCGCCGAATAAAGGTGGTGTGTGTTAGGAGTGTCCGTCTGATGTGCCAAGGTTCCCCTAAACGTCCCCATTTGGAGTCTTTGATGGGCATTCGACAATTGAAAGAGCATTTTGGATCCTTTGCTTCTTGGGCGATCGTCAGGACTGAAACCTGCCAGTGCCCTTGGATCTTGTGTGTGTGTGTGTGTTTTTTCCCTCCTCTTTTTCTGCGGGCCTGAATTGAAACATCTCTCCATCGGGCTCAAGCTGTGTCAGCGAGTGCAGGGGCCTTGACATGAATGATTGTGAAATTGCAAAGAAAGAGCCACAGGTGGTCTGTTCACATGTTCTCACATCTTAGGAGTGTTTAATTGAGGTCTTTTTGCAACAAATGCGTCCTGTTTTGGTCTTGATTAAGTCTTCAAGCCTCTAAAGGACGTTATACTGTAACGGTTTAGAAATGCGTGTGATTAGCTAGTCAATAGTGACAATGTGTTTTTCAGGGATGTGGGGAAGCATTCAACGTACAACTTAAAAGCAAAACAAAGCATCATATGCTGTTAGTATATGTGTGCAAAATATGGACTGGCAAGAAATTTGAAGTTGCAACGTCTAGGCTTCCACCAAAATACATTTTCCATCCACCTTGCGCATTGTTTATTCGGGCCTTTACCTCCAATCGCTCAGGCAAATAAAGCACCAGCTACTAGTGCCACCTAGTGGTCAAAGAGATTTTGTACAGCTTTGACTCTGCTGTGAAACGTGACATTCATTTGCAAACAGTAGCCTCATTGTCATAAATCATCTGTCCGCCACAGAAGCATGCGTCGTCTTGCGGTTGCACATACAACTGTGATTATCAAGAAAATGGGCTGCCTGCACTGCTTTGACAAGCCTTGTAGGAGCAGTTTACAAGCGAAAGTTCCACGACTGTCTCTGAGGTGCATCACACAGTCCAGAATTGGTAGGGTCACGGTGGCAGGTCAAAGGTCCTATTTTTATATTTCTACCACGTTGCTTAATCCATTAGCACGACCAATAACTGCGTTTTTTATATTGTCTAATTTATGAATTACTGAATATAATTTCATGTTTGGCGATTTTTTTTTTTTTAGTGTTGTGTTTTAATCTGAGAGGGGAAATTCACTTCATGTTCTTATCGCATGCATTATTCCACATATTTTTGCTTATGTATCTGTTTCCTGGGGGCCACATTGGCCAAAATTGCAAACGAAAATACAATTTAATGTCAAACAGTCTTAATATATCTCGACATTTCGTTTTGAAAGTCCAGATTACATTTGAGCACAGAGTACGTAAAGCCACAGTTTCCGTGGGTGGATTGTTACCCTAAATCAAACACATTTCTGCGACCTCTGAGTCGGCTGACCTTCCTAGATTAATGTTGGAACTTCCTGTTCTCCAAACTCAGGCATTTATTCCCAGTTGACTATTTGAAATACCAGATGTTTGAAAAATAAAGAGAGTGACTGCAGGGCAGTCAAGGGGTGTCACTGAAACTTTCAGTTTTGGCCAATATTTAATTTTTCCACGCCGGACAAGTATTTGGTAAAAACACTAATTGTATTTGTGAAAGGTCCTGACTTGCCTCAAGTACCTCAAAGATGTCAAGACAACGAAGTAGAAGATGTAAATGAATCAAAGTGCCATTTGTTGACATATTTAGTGATATCAAATTTTATTAATCGTAGTTCCCAAAATTGTCCACTTGAGGGCGCCAATGCTACTGAATGATCCCGGTACGTGCATGCTTATCATGGTAAAACCAATGCAGAAGTCCACTCCTGGAAAATGAAAGGGACATCCTATTATGATGCTTGTGGTCTCGACACAAGAAGGTGCGGCGTAGCCACACCTGCGATGATCTGAAGAAAACAACCCGTGGTCACCCCCGTCCCGCGTGAGTCAAAAGGCCGAGCATTGTCGAGATAGATGAGATCGGGGAAGCCCGAAGCTTTCTGTTGTCATCACTTTCCAAAAGAGAACAAAGATCAGGAGGTATCAGCTTACACAAAGACGACTCTCCAGGCTGAATGAAACGCGTGCAAGCAACTGATTTACTATGGGAGTCTCCACCCACGTCGGCAGAAAGCAAATGAGACTGCCAAACTCTCGGCTCACTTCAGCCGAGCTGACTTGAAGCATTCTGTGAGACTGTGCGGGTTTGACCCGAAAAATCTGTGCTTTGATCAAAGTGAAACGGTAGCAGACATCCCAGAGGGCAACAGGCAATCGTGGTCCTTTTGCTGGGCTCCATGTCCAGTAATGTTGCTCCACTAAAGCTTGCTAGGCCCTGAAATAGAGTGACAAGCTGTCTCCATGAAAACAGAAACTTAAGGGGGTGCATAGTTACTCTGTGATAGTGGTGTCCTTCAACTTCTGATCAACCGTGCTTACTCTAATTGGTATCCGAATATAATGCAGTGGATCTGTTGACTTACAAGTGTAATTCATTCTGTGACCAAGCGCGTAACCTAATTTGCTCAGATATTAAACCGCTCCCCCCCATTTTTTTTTGCACTTCATTCGCGCCGTGGCATATCTAACACTTGCTCGTAGCTGAAGTAAGTACATAAGTTACCGCTGTAAGCGTCAAACAGCCTACCAACGATGGGCACAAAGGCTCCTGACATGAACTTTGACCTCGAGCACAAGCGGCGCCCCCAAGGTGGAATCACAGGGCGAGGGCACACAGGGCGGGTCATGGCCTCTTTTATACTCAGTGTGGTCGGGAGTGGTGGAAACAGGTGAGCTGTTCTTTTAGACGAGCTCAAGGACGAAGAGCGCCCCACCCAATGAGGCTTAAGGCACGCACATCTTCCCTTCCACGACTCGGGGGAGTTATTCTTGACTCATGATATTGTTGCTTTGCATCAAAGGGTGTAAAACACAAGCCCCGCAGAGAAGGCAACACGATCCGTCGGCAGTGTGTTGATTAGCCACGAGTGACGCGCAGTGAGGTAGAACGGCCAGCGATCCAACAGTTGTTGCCACTATGTAAAGCTGGCTCTCAAGTTGCTCTCACATCTTATTTGCTCGGTCTCATCTTGCATAACAACCCTGCGAATAAAGAAAAAAAAAAGAAGTCACACCCACTCGGATCTTTTCTCCTGGCCGTCATCGTTTGATCGGTCCGCACCACTGG